AAGTCTAAAGTAAGGAAATTTAGTTAGGCATTTTTCAATATGAGTAAAACTGATTCAATTACAGTTGTAAGCACCTAAGATAAAATTCTCTTCAGTATGTAACTTTTTACTGACATGATGCAACTTGGCAACATTCTTACAGATGAAAGCACTTAATATTGCAGATTCCTAAAAATGCTGTTCTTTTTTGCAGTGAGCAAGAAGCATAGGGTTTCTCATCATGATAAATCTCATCTAAACGTAACAATCAGGGCATTTTATCAGACTGCAAAAATGGACTTTCAGCAACTTCGGAATATATCACAAATGAGTAACTTCTCCAATCTTCCTCAGAGGTACTGTACGAAACACATATGACTGTTTCAGAAGCAGATGGTCTTTCAAGAAAATCTATTTTAAAAAGAATGAAAACATGTCAACTGACATAAATAACCAATGGTAAATGTTATTGTTCTGAACAGAATTTTTCCTGTGAAATAGAGTATGTGTGTAAACCATTAATTCTGCCATCATTCCAGCCAGCTTGGGGAAGAACTGCAGACTGCTCTAAACATATATATATATATTTATATTGATATATTTATATGAACCCTGTCATAAAATATCCTGAACAAGAACATGATTTCTCACTTACGTAGGCTCTTCCTGCCAGGGATGAAGATGAACACAGTCTCAAAGCTCCTTACCAGTATTATCTAACTAAGCCTACAAGGGCAGCTACGGGTTATTACTTTCTCTGTATATGTGGACAAATGAGACAAGCAAGTTTATATCTCAAGAGATCACTGGGAGTTGGTAAGCTGCTATGAATACCACCCTGAAGCCTTGACTCCCTTATTTTTTCTCTCACAGATGGATAATTAAGCTATTATATTGTGGAAAATTCATCTAAGAGCAGAAATATAGAAATTATGAACCTGCACAGATGTTCAGAAAGTTACAGAAAGGTTCTCATTAATAACACTTAATAATACAGATGATGAGCAGAAAGGAAATTAACTTAGTCGTGACCTCTTTTCCCACTTCACATCTCTTGTACTGTGATAGCAAAGTTTACCACTGGCAATTACAAACCAGCTCTGAAAGGATGTTCTCCCTATGCTTAGGAATATACAGATTTTAATAATATGATTCATTCAATTTCTTGATGTTAGCAGTTAAATATCTTCATTATAATCCTTTTCTATCAGAGTTAAAACATTCCACAAAGCACTAAGTACCCTCAACTCCATGCTACAGCTGGGAACAGTGAGTCAATGAAGCACAACAACTTGATGACCACCTTCAGCCACTGCCTGTGCTGGGAATGAACCAAAGGAAGCTTAAGATAAAAGATATAAAAATGTAAATAAACTTTATCCATCCATGTCCCCTGTGGCACTAAGGATCTTTTCAAACATAGACGATTGAATGTAGGTAAAAATAAATGAATGAATAAAGGGCAAAAAAATAAAAATTCAAATGAGAGAAGAGAGAGAAAGAGTTGATAAACTCTACATTCAGAGGAAGAGTGTGTGACGGTGAGTATTCCAGCAATTATAGGAATAAGGGCTGATGCTGGACTTGATGCATACAGTCTAACATGGGGAGCAGACATGAGAAGTGAAATGAAAATGAAGTGTCTATCAGCTGCCAATTAAAATCTCAAAGGGCTTTGAACTTAACAGGCTAATGCAACTGATCCACAGGCTTCACCTGAACAGTTTACACCACTTCTTTCTTTTATTCCTCTCCTCCAAGTTACGCTTGTTTTCCATTAACTGATTATTTCACTCCAGTATCATTGAATTTAAAATATTAGTGTGGCATATTAAAATTCCATACTTAATCTTTTCACTTGATTGTGTTATTCCATTACGTTTTATACTTTTTACAGTCTCTGTATCTCCTAGATTTTTAGGCCTTTTTTTTAGTATACAAATGCTTGGGTTGCTACTTTGCAGGTGTTTACATAGACTAGGAACATAAATCATACAACAATCATCAAGTAGTAGGTACTTAAATCTTTTCAGTTTCTTTGACAATCTTAATCTCCAACCTTCATATGTTCTGACTGGTCAACACATGCAGCTCTCTTTTTCTAAGCATGAATATGCCATGCTTTCTCAAACTCCATATGCACACAGTGAATAGAAGGCAATCACCCCAACCTTTTGAAAAGCAAGGTAGTAGATTTAAGGGATTGCTCCCATTCTTTTGTATTGAAACCAAAGATACTAGAGCTTTTTCTGAAGCTTTCCTTCCATTAACGTCTGCCTAAACAATCTAAAAGAGAATACACAAAAAGTAAATGGAAGTCATGATCAGCCTTTGCCACAGAAATACAATGCTACAGCTCTGGAAGAAAGGAAAATATATACTGAGACAGGAAATACATATATTTACTTGCACTCATAATTCAATCACACCTGTGAGGAATGAAGAACAATCATGGTTGCAAAAAGAAGAGATCTCAGGGAAACTGCTGACAATCAACCTGCCTTTGCAAAAAAGTCCTTTAAATTCCCACGGGATTTGGGTTATCCTCATCAACATGCTCCTAGGACTCTTCTAAAGGAAATGACTACTGAGAGACTCTCTAATGAATGTTGAGTCTTATGGTACCTTAGCTTTTGACTGGATTCATTCTAAGCCTCAACACTGAGTACGCCTTTGCTCCACACTGTCACAGATCCTAAGTATAAAGGCTTTTTTAGGATAAAGACAGGAATGAACAGGTACAGAAAATTTCCATGTAGAGATAAGGAAAACCATGCAGAAAAGAATCTGTATTTTCATGAAGAAGTGTCCCTCCACAGCTAAATCCACAGAAAGGCTGATATGGAAACAACTGACAATAAATCAGAATTGATCTCTCACTCAAATAATATAAAGACAAGAACGACTTTTGAAGCTTTTAAAAATACTTCTGAGATATAACATATTTTTGCTGCAATAATGAAAAGTCAGGCTGTCAAAATAATTGAATACTACTAGTTCCATGGTAGTTTTGCTCTGACAAATATCTTCTACTCAAAGTTCTTCTATATACTGCTGGACATGTGTTCTTGCAAATTGCCAAATTTTTGCTCTCAGTCCCTGCCCCTTTCTTGCTCTCTCTCTTTTCTACCCATTTAGGATTATACTCCCTTTCATTTCTGAGAATATGTTCTGCATTTGACATCCAAAGAGTAAAGCTTTTCTATATTAATCATCTAATTAGCAAATTAGGTATCAAATTGATCAGTATTATTGATCAGTCATTTTAGTTATCTTCCAACTTAGTCTTTTTTATTTTTTTTTACATTTCTTTGCCTTGAGGTCTCTTTTTACTGCTATATTACCCCACACATCTGGATTACACCCCATCATGGTCACTGTGCTCCACATATTGAAGTTGGACCTTCTATATGTTCATGAAACGCACATTTAAAAAAAAGTAATAATGTGTACTAACACATCCCAGTTTTCATTTGAGGCCTCAAACATTCTGCATGATAATTATGCCAATTTTGCTGTGCTTTGATTTCATTTTCAAAATGATTATGTGATTTATACAAAGTCATTTGGGAAACGTATATCAAAATGGAACTGAACAAGTTGACCCATGCCCCAAACATCAGATGTCTGCTGAGGATAACAAGGCACTGACAGGAGACTAATTTTTCCATAGTGGCAGTTAGAGAAACACAGCAGAATACTCCCATATAATCTCAAACACAATTGGATTCTAGTTTTATGTACTCATCCATAAACTCATGTATGTACTGCTTATAAAGCTGAATTTCTTCCTAGACCTCCTATGCCAATTCTGGTTTATTAGAAACAGCAACACTATTTCTAAAACAATCTTAATTTTTCATCATTCAGCTAGGACTCAGACCCATCTGCAGTAAAAAACTTCTAGAAATTAAGTACAGTGGACTGAAGAATAGCCTTTTCTGGTCATGACAATACAGGAGGGTACATAGCCAATTTGAAGTCTTCTGAGACATTTTCTGGCAACGGATGGTTTTCAATTATATTAGCAGTTTAAATGTTTGGTTTTTTTTTTTTTTCCTTCTTTGGAAATCCCAACAGATATGCAGCTTTTGGCTGCATGTCCAGAATAATCATGCCAAAGTAGACTCTGAATCTCGGGTTGAGCTATTTAAGACGATAACGTAAACACACGTTCTTTACTTTTTTTTTCTTTCATTTAAGCTGGTATAATTCAGGTGCATCAAAATAAAACACATAGATGAAAGGTGAAATGAAGAAAATACCATAAACATTAATTCTGTATGGAATTTGCCCTTTTCAAGTCTGCTCAACACAGGGACAATTGACAATATGTAGTACAAGCCTTTAAACCAGGTGACCAGTATAGGGACAGTTTATAGATTGTGTTCCAATCAAAACCTAACTGTTCAATTCAGAGTTTAAATTATTTTTTTTCCCTCTGCATAAACAAGTTCTTGGTAGCCTCTTCAGTTCATGACACTTTTTGTTAGTGACCATATGGAACCATTCTATCATCTAATCCTAGTTGGTCCTTGTTCCACTAGCTACCACCGATAGCTTATCCTTTACTTTGTACAACATCAGCTGTTTCTCAAATTATCCTCTCTAGAAGTTTCTACTTTACTTATCTCATATTCTTAAGGCAGTTATACCTTACACCTTTCTATGTTCAGATAATTTATAATTACAGTTAGCTTCCTTAGTCAAATAAGTGTCAGTTATACCAATGGTATATTAATTAAAAATAAAACATATGAATTGTAGTCTTAACTATTATGTTCAAAGTGCTGTTATGGTACTGTATCATCACTATATATGTGAAAACAACTTGCAGGACTCTTCCCTACTATAATAAAGTTAACTTCCAACACTTAAGCATGTGAGAAATTTGAAAATATTTCTTTTATGGTAAATTTCTTCTGTGGTATAGTGGTAACTCAGTCTCAGAAAATAATTTATCCTGTATAACAGAATTTATATTATTTAGAGGAAAACGAAAGAGAAAAGCTTATCTTTACCCTCCGGACATCTTTGCCAAATGTTTCACTGTAGCTAGTGCCCAGTATTTCAAATTGAACATAGGGGTTGGCGCCATCTTCTCTGAACTCCATAACACCAGTAAGCCCAGTTATATGGCCCTAAGGAGACAATTTTCAAAAATTTTACAATAGAACAAATTTGCCTTTACAAACACTCATTTTTTATAAAAGATAAAGAGAAATCCATTCTGAAAATGTTTACAGCAAACTTAAATGTAGTGATTACATGTTCTTCAACAGTTCAAATACGTTTTTGAGGAAATGGTTCCAACACTAACATATCCACTGTAAATTGTATTAGGAAGTCATCAGATCTTTATCTTCACAGAAATAGACCCTAGAAAGCAGGACTGTGGTGGAACACGAGACAACCGTCCTTTCAGTGTAACTGAAAGCAGTCAGTTGAGTGCTGGAGTTGAATTCAAAGGTATGAATTCCAAGTCCAGAAGAAAATGTAATACTTGCTGTGCTTACAGGAGAAGTGTAAAGAACAGATGAAATTTGAAGAAATTTTAAAACCTCCCTGTAAAAGTATGACTAAATTTGTTTTGCATTTCCAGCAAATGCAAATTGAGATGAAACTAAATTCCAAGTTAATTTAGTAATAAAATATCACATTTCTTAAGAATGACAGAGCATTACACAGCACTAGAGCAAAAACATTTTGTCAATATACATGGGCTACTTTGAAAGTAATGCCAGCTATTTTATTATGTGGGCCCATGATGTCAGAGGTGCCTGGACGTGGCATGGCAGAGGGGGCTGAACTTTCCCGCCAAACTTCCATTACATTTTGCTGGCATGCGACAGAGGGCAGCAGAGGAGCAGTCTGAAAGAACAGCGGATGACATGGAAATGCATATGAAGCAAAGAGGTGAAAATGAACTCTTCCATGTGGAAAAAATGACGCCCATTGACACTCATTGATACTTGCTGAATTTTAAGGAGACCAAGCAGTGGATGTGAACAGAGAGATGTAGTGGGTGGTGGTACATTCTAGCAGTGGCAACAGCGGGTCACCTCTGCTGGTGCAGATTTCTTCAAGCATGGTATGCAGGCTTCTGTTCCTCACTAGCAAAAAAATGCATAGCTAATGATGGTGACTACGTTGAGAAAGACCATTTTATAGCTGAGAATTTGCTCTATCAAATAGTGTTATTGCGCTTTGTATCTGTTGTAATTTCTATGGAAACAAGCAGGAGGCATTACTTTCAGAGCAACCACTGCTTTATATAAACAGGTTGCTTTTACAAATACATGCTAACACTGTTAAAGTATGAGTACTTTTTCAACTAGTATTTGTGATCAAATATCTTTTGTATAAGAGGTTATCATGGATCTGTAAAATCACAGTACTGTTCATATTTGATTAATTCAACATACTGCAGGACAGTTTAAACAACTAAATCACACTGCATTAGCTCTGGGCTACACCACAAAAAAGATATTTAACAATGCTCAACTAACTTATGCAGCTAGTTGAGCAGCAGTAATTGGAACCTGAAACTTAAACCTTGTTGATTGGCCCCTCGAGCTCCTTAAGATTTCTTGACAAAAGGATTACAACAAATGAACACATCTATTGGACTACTTCTAATCACATGACCTCCAGAAGAGGTAGCTATCATAGCAACAGACACAGAACACATATCACTGGAGTAATGCTGCAGTGTGTGTAATTTGTTTGCAGTAAATCATTTGCTTTATTAACAGCAGATCATTCATTGTAGTCGTAAATCACTTACTTCTAATAAAAGTTAAACAGAGGTCAAAAGCCTCTTCAAAAGCTAAGGAGAACTGAAACAACTCAATCTTGCAGACAATTGTGGTTTGTCTATTCTCACCTTCTTAATAGTCTCAAGCATGGATCGTCCTCCATTCCAAGGCTTGGTGGATTTCCTCATGCAATTCAGACTTGCCATGCTGTGCCATTTCCTGTCCTCCAGTTTTCTGTGGAAAGCATTGGCTAGCATGAGCACACTGTCATACAGGTACAGGTTGGAAACCTGCAAACAATAATAACAATGAGCCTCTTTGTTTATTTATGCTTCTTTCCAAAGAAACTGTAAAAACAAGAAAACAAATTAAAAAAAAAAAAAAAGAACAGAAGCAAACAACAAAAAAAGATGATATGTAAAAACCAAAAGCTAAGCACATTTGAGATGTTCAACAGCTAAGGAAATTCAGACAAACACCAGTGTTTGCTCCCACCTTCTTCCTTCCAGCTTAGTAATAGTCCTTTTCTAGCCAATGGATTCTGATGCATTGCCTTACCGGCACATTACCTACAGTACCACAGTAAAGGTATAAAAGATCGTAACCCAAATATAAAGTCAAGCTACAGAAAGAGTACAGCTGTCTATCAGTAAAAGTCAAGGACTGCTACCCTGTCAGTCATTTCAGCAAGAAGAAAAAGATGGAACAGAATTAAGCTCTTAGTCTTGTTCATTTGAGTAATCTTGGTAATTTCTAGCAGAGCAAAATACAATATAATGTATCTACTCAGCACACAGGGAGAAGAAATGGCCATATTATTTTGGTCTCATCATCTCTCTCCACCAAATAAAAATGAGACTGGTCATTGTTCTACTTTCTTGGGAGATATTTATGTCAGCCTTCTTGTCCTCCTTATGAGAGATAACAGCAGTAATTGATGACAAAGGCTCTAATAAGAACTGCACGCTAGTGGCATTCAGATTTTGCTTTTTCAAAGTTTTTTTCCAAACCAAGACATAGCCTCTGATACAAAATCAATGGTGACATGTGGCAAGTATCTACTTCAAGTGGTAAAATTAGTGGTAAAACTTTAACAGTGGCAGTTACCTAGAAGTAATTTGAAAAAAAATAATTAGATACTCTCTTCATTCATCTTAATTCCTCTTCAAACCTACGCACAGATTCAGGAGTCTTATTTACTCTTTATTAAACTCAAATGAGCAGTTAGCATGAGGTGCCAGATCCATTATTTAATTATTTATTACACTAAAAGAACATTCACTGAGCTGAGGGCTTTAGACATGGTGACTCATTTATCACTCGGATTTCTGTAACCCACCACAGAAGGTGGTGCCTAGAGATCAGTAAAAGGCTACATGTGGAATTTAATGCAATGACATAATTCCTACGAAATGTCACTCATCTGTAAAGCTTAAACATATAATGCTGTTGCAACACTGTCTACAACAAACTTCTAATACCTTAAGATCTTAAGGTCAAGAAATAAAATGTTCCATATTCCATAACCTGTTGTTCAACATAAATTGAAAGCCTAGTCATTTTGAAAAGTTTTCTGGTGTATGTTAATCTGATCAAAAAATGCAAAAATATATATGTAAACAAATATGTAAATTTCTAAACAAATATGTAAAAACATATGTAAACAAAAATTACTCAGTTAAAATAGGAAGATAGCAAAACACTAAATACTAAGGAAACTCCCATATTTAAGTGACTAAACACAAGCAAGGATCTTAATTCAAACCCTAATAAATACTATCTCTGAGATGTCTCCCATTTGGTGTTGTCATTTTTAGTGTAATCTTTCTTTTCTTTTCCTTCCAGAATTAACTTTATCTTCTTACCCTTTTCCTTTTAGAAGAGTTTCCAAAGCAGCTACTTTCCACACTTCCTCTTTTTAAGGAAAGTATGAACTTAAAGAGTTAATAAGATTCCCAAATTCCTAGCAACTAAGTTTTGTTTTTGTTAAGTCTCTTCTGCTCAACTGCATTTGCTTTGTTCAGCAGATATTTTCCAAACAGCTTTCAATTAAAGCAACCATGCAAATCCTTATTATTCAACAACACTTTTCCTCTTCTAGTCTCCGCAAAAAATAAAGTAAAATTTAAGAACTGCTAAGCAGTACAGTCTACATGTACAAACTGCGAAAGAAAAATGAAATTATGAAATTTCTTACATACTACAAGATACAGATCCTCTCCACTCCTCATTATGTTTGTTTTTACATCTACATTTTTAACTGAGACCTCATTGCCATGTTGTAGTGGAGCAGCCACAGAGCAGAAATGCTTTGTATTGTCTTACTTTGGCACTTTTTCAGGTCTGGAGAAATGCAACGTCATTCACAAATCCAGTTTGCTTGGTTTGGTAGTAGAAAACTCTAGGGTAACATAAGGTGACTTGGTACAATGCGTTCCTTCCCTTCTTATGACATAGTTCTCCACATATAATGCACTGAAAGCTTGAGAGTAATTATGCTGACTGTCTTAGCCTACATAAACCTTGCATACAACTCAAAGACTACATGAGGTACAAAAAAAAAAAAAAAAAAAAAAGCAAAAAAACAGTCACCTGTTTACCAGCCTAAACAAAAGTTCTAGCTTGTTCCATAATGGATTTTGTATCACAATTGTTTCATTATTTTTCTTTGGAAGAAAAAAGGATATAAATTAAGTGGCAGAAAGAAAGAGTCTGCAGAAGAGAAGTTTCACACTATTTACTTCCTTCTGTTACACATCTGGAGTCATGTAGCAAGGCAGACAATCATTTCAGGAGACAGAGCAAGTTACTTTTTTGATATGGAAAGCCTACTCCATACACCCTGCTGTACACACCGATCTACTGCCATTTTGCCACTTCAGTTTTATTCCATTGCAGATTTTGTCCAAAGCAGTGAGTATAAAGTACTGTTTAACCAACAAAATAATTATAGACTCATACATTGAGTATCCAGCTCCAACAGCAGCGAACTACCAAAATTATCTCAGTACCCTAGAAAATAAGGTCATTTTGATGCTTCACTGTTGTAGAGGAAAACCCAGCTCCTGTACATTCACAGTAATATACAATAAATGTCTTTGCTTAACTCCAAATGGGAACCAGCTTTATGCTGGAGAATGCAGTTGTGGTTCTAGTTCTAATCTGATGCCTGAATAGTTTCATATTAACACAGCTAAACAGTTGCTTCCTTGAAAACTATAGGCATCGGGTTTTTTGTTGGTGTTTTTTTTCTTTTTCCTAGCAATATCCAGTCTACTAAAATCAGAGGGAAAAGAAAAGAAAAACAAAACAAATCGTTTGTTCTAGACCAGGAACTTGTATCTCCTTTTCTCCTGAATCCTCCCTAAGGTAGAAAAATAAAAATTCTAAAACCGCTCAAATATGCTCTTCTTCTCTAAGTCACGTTCACTTTCTGCTTTAAGTCATTAGTGGGTATTTTTGGGAAGAAAAAGAGGTAATGAAAGCAAGACACAAATTTTGGCCTGATGTCACATTAAATCCAGCATGACAATAATTTCCTTTATTTTCTATGATATTCTGTTTAATACCCTAACAGTCCTACAGGCCTTCAGCACATATCAAAGAAAATAATCATAATAACCTCGCTCCCAACAAGCTACTGATAACTTGCATATCTTTTAAGGCCACCATAAGTCACTGTATTTCTAAAATAAAATAGTTCATTTGGAAGGGACCTTCAAAGACCATCAAGTCCAACTGCTTGACTGCTCCAGGGCTAATCAAAAGTTAAATTAATGAAGGCATTGTCCAGTCATCTCTTGAACATGAACAGGCTTAGGATATCAACTGCCTCTGTAGGTAGCCCGTTCTAGTGTTTGATCACCCTCAAAGTAAAGAAACATTTCCTAATGCTCAATCTGAGCCTCCCCTGCTTCAGCTTTATGTTGTTCCCACCAGCACAGCCTGGCGCCTTCCTCTCTTTTCCCTGCTCAGGGAGCTGCAGAGGGCAACAAAGTTCTCTCTCTTGGTCTCTTCCAGATTAGAAGAAAACTACTTCAGAAGAAAACTGCCTTCTACAAAATCTCTGCATATGTACTGGATGGTGTTTACAACTGCGTATGTTTGTTGTAACCTCCAGAACAGTAATACCACAAAATTAAAAAGGATTAATTGGACAAAGCCTGTAAATACTTGCTCCTGCAAGTGCACACACTTCAATTTTCAGCTAGCTATCAAACTCTGCATACAAAAATGACTTGTGACAGGGAATTTGTGAGACACCCAAGGGATCAACTATACCTTGTTTCCACCAGTGCTTTTTAAGACATGAGGGAACCGTAAATTTGAAAATTTGTCTTTAAGTAGCTATTAAGAATTGGCAGCAAAGTCAGAGAGAAGAAACAATAAGGCAACAGACTTGACTCCTTCGGGTTTTCAAGCTCTGCAGCATTACTTATTTCCCTTACTTATAGATCTAAAGGAGTGGGGGAAGGACATGTATCTGCCTGCAGAGACCCCCCCCTCCAAATAACAAAACTTCCTAGATAAGAACAAAGTGTTTAATTTTCATCCTATTTGAAGGAAGAAGCTGTAATTTTCAGTTCCTCTTTCACTTGCTGAGAGCTGTAAGAGCTGAATAAATGCTTTCTGACCTATCTGCTGTAAAAATGATGGTGACTGTTTTACCGATATATTAAAGAGTTTGCACTGTACACGAGTAACTTCAGATTTGTTCCACTACATAGTCAAAAACTTATGATTATGATAAAGAACCTTTATGATCCTCTTAGAAGCCTTAGTTTCACAATGAAGAAAAACGCTGCCATGCACTAGTTGAGCAAAGCAAATTTTCAACAAGAGAATGGAAATCTTTCCGTATTTACATTATTAAATGTGATTTTCAAGAGACTTCTATATGAATTCCATAAGAATTTCCAGAGTGAATTTACTTTTGAAGTTGAATATGAAAATAGCTTTTAGCTCCTTCAGAAGCACTAATAATAGACAAGTGCTTTTCTGGGAAGGATAGCAAGCCACAAAGACTGACCCCAACTTATCTGCCAGCTGTGCCAGAATTCCAGACAGACAAGACTACTGAGAAGATCAGCTGGGAAGAAGCCACTCAGATACAACTATTTCAAAAAGGTATTCCCAAACTCTGCATCTGTACCCTGTGGCTGCCAAAATCATCCTGTGAGTTAGGCACTTATGTCCCAAATGACAGGATGCATCTTGCCAGTGAAGTGAAGATCAATGGTTTACTTATGCTCTAACAGCGTGTTTACAAGGGTACTGTTAGGAGGGAGAG